CAGGGGCAAGTCGAGCACACAGGAGGGGTTGAGCAGCTGAACAGGCCAGGGCTCGGGCAGGGCTGCAGCTGGGGGAGGCCTGCCCCCTTTCCCTCCATCCAGGTGCTGGCAGGATGCAGGCTGTGGAGCAGAGGCTGTGCTGCTTCAGCTCTGTGACAACCCAGGGCTGGGGTGGGCCTGGCTTGGCTGGAGCAGACAGAGCCTGACTGACCTGCAGTAGGAGGTTGGGGAGTGGGGGTGCTCAAGGCATCCTGGGATGCTGGTGGACTGCAACGTAACTTTAGTTGGGAGGGGATCTGGGACAGAAGTTTGTTAGACTGGTTCAACATAAATCAGGTAAGTCTGATACTACATCTGTCCAGGTCTATCTTAAACCGGGTTCAACAATTTTGAAGATGGTCTGTGTGCACTGAACTTCTGTTCTGTTACAGGGTTAAACCAGTTTTCAATCATTTCTGCTGGCTTATGTGTAATTTCTGTCCCTTGCCTTGGTGTTCAGGCTGTTTAAATTGGGTGCTCTCAGAGGCAGTTGCCTACAACCAGCAGCTCAAATTCATGTTTGGTGGTGGAAGCTTAGATGGATAGGTTTATTGTCTTTTAGGTTGGTAGCTAGCAGGTCTGTATAGCAATTGGCTTGGCTCAGTGAAACTGCTCAGGCAAAGGCAAGCAAAGCAATACACCCCATGAGTTGCCACAAAAGGGCAACTCTCAAACCCCCTGTATTTATAGTTTAGATGTCTCCACTGGCTGCGTCAGACGAGTGTGGACATTTGGTTCCCCAGGGCCAGCTGGCAACAGTGCATGTTGTGCCACTGCTAGTTGTCCCCAGGAAATGCCTGGGCATGCTCTGGCGCATGGCAGGTTACCCCAGGTGGGGTAGGGGAGAATGGGGCCAGCACTGGGCTGGCCCCAGCAGCCTTACCTGGAGGCCTCTCAGGGATTCAGCAGTGGCGATCCTGGCCAGGAGTTTGCAGTGTGCCTCTGGCTGGCCAGGCTCTGGTTTTGAGTGGTGCATGCTGCCCCCACGTGCACTGCCCCGTTTTTTCTTGCACATCCCTTGCAGCATGCACAACAGCTAAATACACGGTATGTGGCGCTGCAGATGCGCCTGTGGTACCAAATACCACGCTGCCATGCTTGTCTGGATGTGGCCACTGTGTGCAAACTCTTATTTCTCTCTCTGTCAAGAGGTCCCTCTTGTTTTTTGGCCAAGTCCAGATACCTGCAGCTCATTCCTTGCTGAGTGCAGTTTGGGCATCCAACTTTGGGCATCTAGAACTCACTGTGCTGAGTTCAGGGTTTTCTAGTTCACTTTCTTACTAAATTTGAGTATCTTCAGCCTGCGGAGGACAGTTTGCCTCTTGTTATCTCTACTATAGCAAATTCAAACTTTTTACTTCTCATCTTCTTCAGCTACTGTTTCTTATTTTGAATTGGCATTTTTGCTTACTGAGCCTTGTATCAAGTCATCCAGCAGTCATTGAAGCCTGTTATTGCCAGTCCTTTGCGGTGTCTTAGTTTAACTATAACTTAGCATAATTTACGGTGTAGCATAACCAAGACTCCTACAATGTATAATGCCATAGATACATTGTGCAAAATAAATATTAAAATATAAGTTTGGATTTTTTAATATTAAGAAAAAACAAACAAAGTACCAGGGTTCACCACTTTGGCCCTTTTAAAGTTGATCTGCCCTGCTCTGGAAGTGCAGAGCAGTCTTAAATTCTCGAATTGTTGTGTGTCTGTGATGCTGGGTTGGCATAACAATTCTTGTGTAACCAACTTATTCATCTTTCTCCAGCATAGATACTATGAGTAAAGGAAAGTAGAGAGCAGTTTGGAAACGGCTGACTGTAAGCTTTCAGGGAACCGAGTTGCTGTTTGGTAGCCCTAGAATTGGGGCAGTAACTCCAGCTCTTGGTACTGTGAAGATCATGGACTGTGGCAGTGGGGTCAATAATCGGTCATTTGAAAGTCCCTAACCTGTTATCTTATGCAGAACACTGAGTGTAATAAGAGACCTTTCATGGCATCTAACCTCTTCCTGGCTCTAGACACATGGTACAGGCTGTCCTCAGACTTACGACACAATTGGTTCCTGAAAACTTAAGTCGAAATGTAACTCAGAACCAATTTTCTCATAAGAAACAATGTTATAAATGGGGGATTGGTTCCTGAGCCAAGGCCCGATACCCTATTTTCACCACAAATACCCCAGAATTTTGTACTCAATCAATTGAGTAATATAGCTACATTAATGTATTTATATTGTAAATGGCAATCATATTGATTTGGAAGGACTTTTTGAGGTGACTGCTGGACTTTTTGAAGGGTTCTTGGCTGGAGTCTTCTCAGGAGTCCTAGCTGCAGGTTTTTTTGGAGTCTTGTCTGTTTTCTTAAAGAAAACGTCCAAAGAAGTTTGGACAGATGTTCTCCAGGGAGGTGAGTGATGCAGCAGACTTGTTTGCTAGTGCAGCGTCGCATTGGATCAAGCGTTGTAAGTCGAAACTGACGTCATAGAGTTGAAACAGGGTGTCAATTTATAAAAATTGTAAGTGCGAAACATTGTAACTGGAAACATTGTAAGTTGAGGACTGCCTGTATTGGCTTCTAGTCTTGTTGGTAAACACTACAGTCAAACATTAGTTTCTGTTCTTAGGCTGTATCCCAGTAACCTCAGTAGTATTTTGCTCCCATAATTGTTCCCACATATATTTTTTTAGACCTAAAATCTGTCTGGACTGCTGTTTCTCTTCCCTGCTACTTGCTGCAGTCTGTCAGCTATTATTATCTTGCTGCCAAGTAAAAAGGGCAGGTACTGGGTTTGGGGTAGGTTCAGAATATGAATGGCAAGAGTCATATGTGTTTGCTACACAGCAGGATACAGTTTTTACCCATCACTGTAAAACCAGAATACAAGTGCAGATCAGTCCTAAGGGAGGTAACAGTAGCACGTGATCTTGGCAGTTGCTTTAGTTTCAAGAACAATTCTATTTTTGTGAGGACCTTTCCTGAGTTTGTGGAAATATTTGTCCTGTGTTCTCTGGGTTTCTGGCCATACATTCAGAGAATTCTCATTTTCGCCGACTTTCTTTCCTCATCTTCCGTGGGAGCTCTGCTTCCTCTCTGTCCCAGGCACCAGGCTGGACTAATGGCATCCTATTCCTTGTGCATGTCACTCATTTCTGTTAGGTGTCCAATCCTGACCTCAGTACGTGTCCCACCTTTCTGTGGTTGACTCCTTGATCCGGGGGGCCAACACTTGGCTTTGAATTGTCTCAGACATGGGATGGAAGAGGAAATGAGGGGATTATTTCTTGTTTAGAGGGGAAGGTGGCTTCCAAATCAGAGTAGTGCTTGGAAGTTGAGATTGTGTTGCTTTAAGTTTCCAATACAAACAGCCAAATTGAGCTTTTGAGTACTAAAACTAGACAAAAGTGCTTGAAAATCCTCCAGGCCACACTGGCGAAGTTTCGCACTGTCACTCTGGAGGAGTAGAATAGCCCGTTGCTCAGTAAAGTGTAGGAGAGGTGACTGTCAGGACCATGCTTCCATTGGAATGACGAATGGGTGTTCTGTGCCTTTGAGATTATCCCCCTTACACATGGCTTGCTTACCATTAAGAACAGGTAATGTTTGTCATTGAACTCTCCCATTTATTGGTAGCCAAACCAAAATATCATGGCAGCCAGATCCAGACTGAGGAGAGAGTACTAATTTTTTCCCCCTCTATTTCTTAAGGGAAGGGTGGGGAGAGATTTTTTTGACAGGGATTCCAGGACATGACTTCCCTTTGAGAGAAGGGGAATGGAATAAAAGTGCCCTTTGGTTTTTAGGGTCCAAGCAGAGAGTGGCAGATTGGCTTGCCAGTAAAACTGCAGGTCTTTGGCATTGATTCAGCCAGGGGGAGAGGTGTTCTTGAAACAAGCTGGCTGCAGCTATGGAATAACTGAGGCTGGATGGAGGGGAAGTGAGAGCCGGGCAGTGTGATTTAGTGCAGTGGTTTCCAACCTTTTTCTTTCCTGTAGACCAGCGTGGGAGCAGGACGGGCGCACGGAGCCAGCTGCTCCCTTCCGGGGCTGCCCAGCCCCCCAGCTTTAACCTCGTACATGCCTGCTGGCGGCGGAAGCCGCTTGTCCGGGCAGACGGATGGGGGGTCTGAGCAGGGGGCTCATGCCACGACCCAGCAGCCAACCCTTCGCGGCCCAGTATTGGGCCATGGCCCAGTGGTTGGAAACCTCTGATCCTAGTGCCTCTCCTAGGAAGTATTTGCCTGTGAGAGTTTGAATCCCTGCTGGTGTTTAAGAGAAGAAAACTTTAATGGGAACTAGTACAGTTGCCAGACCTGTCCCCACGGCATGGTTCCCCCCTTGGGCACAGCTACATCCAGATGGGTGAATCGTGCCTAGGGCTGTGTACGATTTTCCTTATGGTCTTGTATGAAAGAGAGAAACCACCTGACACAATTGTCAGCGAGCGCCCAGGACTACTCTTCCATGGCTCGAAGTGTTTCATGCTGAGTCTTCTAGGTTTATCCCCTTTGGAGTCCCTAAAATGGCAAATTTAGAGACAGTGTGAAAATCTCATGTTTTGTGTTGCTGTGTTTGGAGGAGTACAATCCATTCCATGCATAGCATGAGCTACTCTTGGTATTAATTTATTCAGACCCTACAGGTTTTTTTCCTCTGTCACTTTGGGCAGGTGGAATAAACATAGGGTGAAACCAGGATTGTTATTTTTTAATGTATTTTTCTTGTAAGGCAACAATTCAGTGTGCAACTAAAGAACATTTCAGTGATGAGCTCACATATAAATGATGGGAGCTGAAATAATAGAAACTATATTCATCAGTAAATCAGCTCCAAAGGGCAGCATCGGTGTTTCTTCTTTATCAGAATAATTGATGGTTCTCTCTGGCTATTAACAGCACAGTATCTCTGTAAAATGCACAGGTTGATGGTTCTCTCTTTTTAATAGTTTTCTGTCTTTTCCGCTAGAATGGATTTATGTCTGGATTGATGCAAATGCTTCTTCTGAAAGTCTCTGCTCACATCACGGAACAGCTGGGAATGGCCCCAGGAGGAGAATTTCGGGAGGCTTTCAAAGAGGTAAGGGCTGGAAGTGCTTCCATCTAAAGTAAAAGCGATCAGCTGCTTGTATGCCAGTCAGATGAAATAAAGCTGCTTATTTGGCTAGAATATTCTTTTTCAAATACCTGTCTTACTTGTTGTGAGGAAAGAATCATCTTCTTGTAAGTGAAAGGCGAAGTGTAAAGTAAGAGAAACATTTGTTTTTTGTGCCCTTCCCTGCTCCTGACTGATGGAGGATGGCTTCATAAGGGCCTTGAATTCTCTTCTTCCTCCTACCCCTGCAATCTCTCCTAGTATTATTATTTTTATTATTATTATGGAAATGTTGTTGTTTGGCTCTTGTCTCCCAATATATCATATTTACATTAAAATGTCATGCAAAATATTGCTAATCCAGATCCCATTATATGTGATATCAATATAGATATTATATGTAATAACTGTGGGATAATGTAGATGTTAAGAGTTGCCCTGTTTAATAGAGGAGTAGTTCAGTAGAACTAACAAGTACTGTGTTTGTGATGGAAAGAAGGTGAGCATGTGTAGGTGTGCCAGAATTCAATTTTTATTTTTTATTTTTTAATAATTTTGACAGATAATATCAATGTGTTGGGGTTTTTTTAAAGCTTTAATTTCAATTTTTATCGATTTCAATTTTCAGGACTGTGAAATTAGGAGTGTAGAGGACAGACAACTTATTAATGATAGTATAATGTTAAAAGCTTTATAAAATCACGTCAAAATATAAAAAGTAAATATCCATAAAACTGTAAAATGTGACTATTGTAGGACTGCCACCAGCTGAGTGGTAGAGCTGCCCTGAGTCATCTCCACTCACCTGTAGCTCCCTTGTCCTCTCTGTCACTTCCTCTTCCTTTCTTCCTAGTCTCCAGGGGTTTCTGGGAGTTGCAGTGCACACTGCAGTCAGCCAGGTTCTGTAGGACTGTTTTCCCTGTCAGCACATACTCAATCAGCCATCATTTTTCTTACGCCCTCTTTCTATAAATTATGATTATTATATTTGAAATATTTTTTCACTGGTCTGTGGGTGTGAGGTAAAATCAGTATTTATCAACATGTACCAATAAAAACTGAATCCTGCCAAGCCTAGTCATAGTTATGGGAGAGGAGCAAGTACAGTTTGTTACGCAGACATCTGAAGGACATGGGGAATGAGTTGATAGTAACGTGAGGTTGGAGACCTTCACGCTCAAACTGGCTCCTGTAAAATAAGAACTGGATTCTGCTGGCCTTGTGTGCCTGGCAGCCACCAGTATGTTCTCTTTTTCACCATTTATTTTGTCCTTTCTTGTTAGTAGTAGAAAGCACCAGCTCCATGATGAAAAGCATATACAAAACAATCGGTGAGCTTTTCGAGTAGGGATGAATGATGCTATAAATCAGGGGTATCAAATTCACTTCAGGCTCTGGGACAGATCTAGACCACAGCGTTCACCCTGGGCCAGATCCATAGGGCCAGTGGCAGGCCTAGTAGGTGCAGACCAGCTGCACCAAAGCCAAATGGCAGGGGCAGAGAAAGCAGCTGCAAGCTCTCTGCCACTCCGGCCATGTATAGCAGGGCTCGCTCAGGTGCTCTGAATTGTACAGCAGGCCACACTCCTAACTTCAGTGGCTTGGCAGGCTAAATGGAATAGCTATGTGGGCCAGACATAGCCCATGAATCACCAGGCTTGACAACCCCTCTCTAAATGAACAGAACTTACTAGGAACTGCAATTGGAGTCAGAAAAGTTTGTGACCGGAAGTTTGGAGAAACCTTAGTTCAGGGTCCAGAGGATCCCCCAGCCAGAACTGAGGAGTCAAGATGTCCTGTTTCTAACACAAAAAGAAATCAAACCCTTGCAGTTATCTATGTGGAAGTCATAATGGGAGGAGCACAACAAACTTCTGTGTTACGTATGATGGTAACATGAACAAGTTGGACATATTCCTAGGTTCTATAGCTACTTAGCAATGCAAAGTAAACTGTTTTTTAGTTCTTTGCTGTAAGTCATGGAAGAAGCCTATCTTGGAGCTCAAGATGGAGAGGTCAGACTGGGTAATGAATTGAATGCATTTGGAAGCTGAGGATGAGCCTCTCTGCTCAGCATCATTTGGAATTTGACATGAAGCTTTCTGTACTCATAATTTTGACTTCCTCGGAACAGTTTAGTGTAGGACTTTGTTTCAGTAATAATCCATAATGAAGTACTTGGTTACACGGAACATGTTTGTGCCTATGGTATGCTTTAAGAAATGTGCTTGAAGATGAGTATGACATGAATTACAAATATCCATTTTCTTGGAATGGGGGGGAAAAAAGCAACAAGAAGGCTGTGTAGCAGCTGACCAGCATTGTTCAGAATGACATTGTCCAGATATAACCCAAAGCACCTGTATTCTTGATGTAAATTTTAAAATGCTGCTACTTTGTCTCTTTTTCTGAGAGTCTACAGTTGGAGGAAGAGAGGGGAGTGCGCGATATTTGGAATGGGCCATAAAATTCCTCATATACTAGTTGTTCCATTATTTTAATGCCTGCTGGGGGCCTGTGGCTCATCTCAAGATATGGGCTAGGTTCATGACGTGGATAGATCTTGCTTAAAATTTGTTTTTTACTTTCGATTTTCTCCAGATATGAATATGCACCTCAGTCCCAGCCATTTACAAATGATAAATGCAAAAAAGGCATTCTTTCTATCTAGCTAGATGGTTTGTGACTCACTTAATAAGGTTAAGAAGAGGGTCATTTCACATTTGACGTAAACAGTTCTGTGCTTTTCCTGTAATATCCATTGTATTTCATTGACTCCTTTCTGAGATATTATATTGAAAGCAAAAATATTATTTACTACAAAATATAAAATTATTCAAGTATGATGGCACTTATTCTTGTTTTCTTAATATTCCCTAGAGTACATGGGTTACTATAAATACTAACTTATTTGCATAATGTTGACATAAATATTAACTTTATCCTAATGATCTGCTATTGCTGCAACATGTAATGCTAATTGGTAGTGTTGACTACAAGTAATATGTGCCTTCCCTTTCAGGCTAGCAGAGTCCCCTTCTGCAAGTTCCATCTGGGGGATAGACCCATCCCTGTTACATTTAAGAGAGCCATTGCTGCACTTTCTTTCTGGCAAAAAGTGAAGCTTGCTTGGGGCCTCTGCTTCTTATCTGACCCTATCAGGTATGAATAAGTCTGTTACCGTTATTCGTGATGGGTAGATCAGCACTGTCAACTTGACTTTAGTGGAAGCTGAAGTCTTTAGCAGCTGCCTTCAGTGATCAGGCCTGAAATCCACAAAACGGAAGCATTTCCATAACCCCTTACTCGTGTACCAGGTGCAGTGATGTAAGTGTGGTGCCATTGATTGAACGTGACCTGCTGTTGTCAGCATAATGCTGCTTACCTCACTCAGGCTGTTCCACAAACTTTGAGGGTACCTTGAATGAAAGGATTTTCACCATAAAGTGTACTTGTTGTCCTACAGATGTTCATTTGAAAAAGTTAACACATTTATTGCCAACTTTTCTGGCCTTGTTCCAATCCCTTTGTGTCACCAAGAATACCAAAATATATCCAGAATTTAGGTATCAGCCACATATTTGAGGGAGGCAGTTTCTATGCCAACCTCCTCCTCACTTTGGTGGATGGAGGGATTGTGATAGGGAGAAAGCAGAGCTTCACTGTGCTATTCACAGTTTGTTGTGGTCTTTAAGGGAATGCAGCTTGCTGTCATAATTCACTTCTGGACTAGAGCAGCTTGAGTGCTGAGACAAAATAAGCAGCTGTCTGTGTTGATTAGATCTTGGCACAGAGCAGAACATAGCCCATAAACTTTAAACACAGCTGATTGTCTGATTAGTTAATATTGTATGTGTACAGGACTGTGACAGGGCTCTGGTTGTGCCTGCCACGTTAAGGGCTTGGAGCTGGCAGCCGCCAGGTGCCTGATTAGGGCAGCTATTTTGGATCTGGTGCTGCCCATATAAACAGAGCAGTTCTGCTGTAAGAGGCCAGGCAACAACGTCTCCTGGTTGGAGGGCTGCTGGTATCATCTGGAGGTAGGGGAGGAGCTGTAGGGGATGGAAAGGAGGCTCCTGGTCCTGGGCATGACCTAAAACTGCACCCTGCCGGGAGTGGGTGGCCTGGTGGGGGTCTCAGTGGCGTGGGAGCCCCCAGGAAATACCAGGCCAGTTACTACCCCAGTGAAAGGCGGGTCGGGGCGCCTTAACCTCTAGCCCCCACAACCGGGTGCGTTACCCCTTGTTTTGGAGGGCCCAGAGAGTGGACCCTCAGAGAGAGAAAAGGGACATAAATTCAGCGCTTGATTAACATCTATTAACTAATTAACATCAAGGCATGGTGGGCAAGAACACAGGTGGTTAGCTCAGGAACAGGTGGGCAGGCCGCAGGGAAGGCAGCCCCAAGCAGGCCCCCTGTTACAAAGACCTTTGTTAACTTTCCAGTAGGGGGTACAGTAATATAAAGCTTCCTATTTTCATTGTTCAGAGTCAGGTAAAGACCCAAGTTTTATTGGAAGCAACTAAATCATCCATCTTCCATGCTAGCTTGTATGCACCTATTTTCCAACTGAGTTGTGTAACTAGTATGTGACTCTCTTGATCCTTTAACTAACAATTTATACACAGAATTTAGGATTAACTAATGTTCTTCACTAACAGTCTGTGGCATGGATGTGGCTACTTATTTTAAGAAACCATATTACTTGTCCATGCAGTTCCTTCCTACTAGCCCCAAGAAGACGTTGATTATTCAGTTGAAATATTAAGATAAGGCACATTTGCATTTAGGTCTTTACATAGGTGAGTCTAAAATCTAAATATGAATATGACAAGAAACAGTGATAGGACTAGAGGAAGTAAGGAAAGACGGTTACAATTAAAATCACATGGTTATTCAGTTTTGGTAGAATTACATCTTGCTGGTTATGTGCAGTAATTTTGTCTATATTTAGTTTAAATTAATTGACATTGACTTTGTTTCTGAGGCGCTACATAGAAAATCCACATAACATTTCTGCTTCTGCTTCTCCTTGTCTCCATTTGCAATGCCCCAAACCCTGTGCATTTATGACCCAGCAGTTCAGAAACTAAGCAAATAAAGCACATTTTAACATCAGTTCTTAATACCTGGGATACCAAAGCACCCACTCACTGGTTCCTGGTAAATGTATCTACACCAGTGGTTCCCAACCTTTCTTTTCTGCGGACCAGCACAGGAGCAGGACGGGGTGCATGGAGCTGCCACTGACCCAGAAGCTGCTCACCCAGACAGATAGGGGATCTGCACAGGGGGCTCATGCCACAACCCTGCAGCCAACCCAAGCCGTGGTTTGGTGGTTGGGAACCTCTGATCTACACCACAACCATGGAAACAAATGTAAGGCTAAACATACACAGAGACATTATGGTAATATATGGCAAATGTTTTGAGTGCCCTGCAGCTTCTTACTCCTTACCTCCAACTCATTGCTTGTACTCCTGTTCAGGGGATTGACCACTTGGGACTTCGATCGCAAATTATCTTTGTCTATGTTCATGTGGTCTCTTAGGAAGTGCCTTTTTTATTCCTCTCCCTTAGCATACATACTTCACAAAATGATGACTCATCCCGCTGATTGAGGAATGCTTGACACTGCTCTTTTGAGGGCCAATCAGTAAAAGTTCTTGACTTCACAGGGAGAGCAGGGTTTTGCTACATTTTCTCAGTCATACTGCTAGTTTACACATCATGTGGAAATGAATAACTTCTGCCAAAATGCTGTGAGATAAATGACCCCCTGTTCTGTCCGTTTCACTAAGTTCAGGGTTATTGCTTAGAATATGAGCTTAGGGTTTCTTTTATAGACATGAGTTGTATGGATTTAGTATGATGCTTTAGAATTTTTGTTTTTACATGTCAATATTGGACTTCCAAGAGCAAAATACAATCACTGAGAATATTTTTCTTTCAGTAAAGATGATGTGGAGAAATGTAAACAGAAGGATTTATTGGAGCAGATGATGGCTGAAATGATTGGAGAATTTCCTGATCTTCATCGAACAATCGTGTCTGAACGAGATATTTATTTGACCTACATGTTGAAACAAGCAGCTAAGCAAATAGAACTACCTCGTGCTTCAGAAGGTAGGACATATTCTTTATGTAGGGCTCTGAGATTGTACTTCCTCTTAGCATCAAAACTTTCCAGATTTGCTATGCAGTGTAGGCAGGGTCCACATGTAATTTATAAGATAACTTCATGTATTACAGTGCATAAAAAGAAGAGAGAATATTGTTAGCATTCCATAAGAAGCAGCAACATTATCTCCTTACAGCAGGGGTGGGCAAAATGGTGGCTCTGGCCTGCTGTCAGACTCCATTTCCCAGCAGCCCCTGCCCGCCTTGCTGCAGCAAGCCCTGCGGGGGCTGGTCTCCATGGAAACCCTGACCCTATATTGTCTCTGCTGAGGTCTCCATGGAAACTGGCTGCAGCAAGTGAACAGGGGCTGCTGGGAAATGGAGTCCACCATGGGCCCAATCCAGCCCACAGACCAGACTTTGCCCCGTCTGCCTTAGACGGATGAATGTTCTTTGAATAATTAACTCCTTCTTTTTCTGATGTTTTTTTTTTTTTTAAACTGGAAAATACTAATTGGCCTGAAAACATTTGAAAACTGTAGGCATTGAATGTTACAGCACAGGATGGGATTCAAGTCCTTTTATATAAATTTGAGGAAGTATGGGCATGCTGACTACTTGTGTTTCTCTGGGGTGTAGGTTGTAGCCATGTTGATCTAAGGACATAGGCAGACAACGGTGTTTGTGCCTGAAAGCTTGCTAAGAAATATTTTTCCAACTATTTGAGTCAGTCTAATAATACATATCAGATTTACCCAAAGAACCTTGTCTGCCTGTGTTTCTCTGGACAGTGAAAGCAATTGATCATTTGTGATCTGCAGTCGCTCAGAGTGCATAACCTAATCCATAACTTGCTATGATTATCTCATGCCTGATAGCTCAGGAAGATATTACATGTAATAATTTCAGCATAGTATTGCATACACTGTCAGAAATAAATTTCATAGAGGGAAGAGTGTGCTTATGCTGCTGTTTCTCCCTCGCATGGTGTTTCCCCAGTGCTGCTAGCTAGAGCAGCAGTAGAGTAAAACTTTGGGAGCTCTTTCAATTTGGCTGTCAGGCATGACTGGGTGATGAGCAGTGGCCAACTTTTATTTGATCCAGTTTCCCAGTGCAGTGGGATTATTAGTTGGTGGCTTTTATGTAAAGCTGTGCGTATGGATACATAACTGATTCAGTTCATGGAGACCTCCAGTACCAACAGTTGGGAAAACCTGGTGAATGTCTACCTCATGTGCCAAGGTACAGCCCCTTTTTTGACTCTCCCAGAATCTCATTGTGAAGTTCTGGCTCCATTTTCCCCCACCTTGTCTCCTCTATGCAGGCCTTCTCCATAAAGACAGCAGACTTCCTCATCAGCCTCCTCCTGGCACCAATCCAGGAGGAGGAACCTCAAAGGGCATCTTTTCTGCAGCTCTGGAGCCTACTTCTCTCCCCCAAAGACTTTGCATTGCTGCAGCAGCAGCCACTGACCTCTTGGACTCCTTCGTGGGGGAGTTCAAATAGTCAAAAAAGATCTTGGCTTGTCATCTTGTGCCCTTTTTTAAACCTTTGACCCCTGCTTTCCTTGTTCCTGTTTTTATTGCTTCACAGTTCCAGAGAGTCATTTTTTTTCTAGACTAGGTCTTCCCTTCTTGAAGGCGGGGGCCTTTGGTTATTTTAGGCCCTCTGTCTCAGAGTACACAAAGGCTTGGCCAGGTCATGACAGAAGCAGTAGTTGTCATGTAGTGTGTGAAACAGCCCACTATGCTCTTAGCATAGTGCTCTTAATGGAATATTTTACAAATTTCTTTTAAAATTCTCTAACAAAAAGCAGAGCACAGTAGTGGAGAAAAGAGTTTAGGATTTTGCAAGTAACTTGGAAGGAACAGAATGGAACTGCTCACGATTGCATCCAGTTTGTTATCCTGGAAATATCCTGTACAAGAACAGCAGGACAGCATTTGCCTCATAGGTGGTTGAGTCAGGTTTGGAGAGGTGGCAAAAAAAAGAGAGAGAGTGGATTATATTCATTCACTGAAAAGAATGTGGTTTGCGGGATACAAACAGAAGGGAAAAGGAAAAACAGAAACTGATGAAGGAGTTGGGCAAAGATAAAAGCTGTTTGGAAGCAAATTGAAATTCAAAGGAACAGTTTTGGAGAAAATTGTACCTCAGATTTTTCATTTATTGATTTGTAGCTGAAAATCTCAAGACACGCAGATTCTTCCTTTGTGTACCACGAGCAACCAGAAGCTGAGCTGCCTCTTACCTGATTCATTTAGTTATGTCCTAATTCAGCATGATACTGTTAGAGATCTCTCATTTGGCAATCAGTTTGTCATGTCAAGATCACTAGTGTGTATCAAGCTTGAAGTCTTATTTTCTTTTCTATGGAAAGAGCTTTGATTTCTCCCAATGTAACTGGGGGAAAGAATCAGAATTGCAGTGGTGCCAGTTATGTTTCTAAAGGATTGCTGCAGCATACAAGCTTTGGTGGTTTAAATAGTTTATGCCATATTTTGAATGCCAGATTCTCTAATAGCATCTCAAATCTTGTTCCTGTGGCTCTGAGGAGACTAAGTAGCAGGTGCAAATTTTGAAGATGGGTCAAGCCTCCTTTTTTGCTTATATGTAAGCAACAGTGCAGCTGTGAACATGAAAGCTCTTGGTGCCAGCAGTTACCGGGCCAGAACAGAGACTGGAACTGGGATTCTCAGAACAAAAGTAAAGAAGCCCATCAGGTGCTTAAAAACAGAGCAAGTCTAGTTAATGCAGAGATGCGTGCACACTGAACTTTCTGCTCTGAGGGGTCCATGCTGAAATCAGTGGAACTCCATATATTTGCAGCGATTCACGTAGCTGGATTAGGACCCAAATGCATTTGGCTTCATACTTATGTGGTTACTAAACTCAGGCCCTGATTCCAAGGGAGCAGACCTCAGAGGTGGGTAGTTGAGAGATACATGTGACATTTTCAAATTTGGTTTCCCATGCCAAGTATTTTCTATTCGATCATGACTGCTAGAGTATGATGTAGTGAAGGCAGGGCCCAAGTTTTAGAGCACTGAAGACTTCAAAGATCATCATCAGCAATTTAGAATTCTACTGGTAGCCAAAAGGAAGGCAAGGCAGACAGTGCAGCAAATCGTATGTGCTTGTGACAGCCTAAATCCTTGAGGGCTGCATTCTGCATAGCTGGAATAGCCAGACAAGTCATTATATCATACCACTTTTTCCCAGTCAAGGCCAAGCCCTTCCCACTAGCTGCTGTTCAGGCCTACCTGAACTGGGGCCCATTTAGACAATGTAAATAGCTTAGGGGTGACCTATACCTATAGGCAACCTGTGCGCCTCTTTGAAACTGTTTAATCTGAAAAATTGGTGATTTGTTTTTTTTAATTGCTTGCAGATTACCACTGCTTTTTTCACTGCAAAGCAGATTGATATATTATTTTTCCCCCACTTTCTTTCTTAGCCGAACCCAGAAAATGTATCCCATCGGTTGTAGTTGGTGTGGTCGGGATGGGTCACGTGCCTGGAATTGAGAAGAACTGGAACATTGACTTAAACATCCATGAAATAATGAGGTAATATTATTAATTTATTAAACATTAATTGAAGGCAAAAGCCAGATTGGTCCCTTATTTGCTTCCATTTTGGGCATCACAGTGCCTAAAAGTTAGGCACCAGGAGGTTGATTCAAAAAATGGGTTTAGCAACATGGTCTAGGCTCCCTGCATTGTAAATGGGGAAAGTCAGATGCCTCCAAAGGGTGATTTGGAGAGCTTGGATGTTGAGCAGGGAACTGCTTGGAGCTAAGCCAATAGGAAATATAATGGGTAGGTCTGAACTCTTGTTCCTCTTTCACATTTTTGCTCTTGAATCAGAACTGTCCTTAAGTGTCACCAAGGCACTTGGAATCCAGAGTAACAGGGAGGTGCCTAATTGGTGTGATGAACTTTCTGTGTAATAGAAACTTTCTGTGTTGGACCACGTAGGATGCAGGATTCCTAGGATACAGCTAGAGACCTACTCAAACATGAAAAATCAGGCAATTTCCACAAAATCCGTGTGGGGAGGGAAAACTTACTAAAAATAAAACACTGGCTCCCTGGTAGGAGTTGGCAGTCCTCACAGCTGCTGCGGCAGCCTGGTGGCGCAGCCTGTCGGGGAAGAGGAGTAGGCAAGATGGCTGCGCCCCCGGCCCTTGCTGGTGATTGGCTGAGAGGGCTGCCTGTCCTGTGGTCCTGCCCCTCTCCTCCAATGAGCAGCGAGGGGCAGGGCTGCACGACAGCCAGACCTCTCCAATCAGTGTTGAGGGGAGTAGGGGGGGCATTGGGGCCCCTTGGCCAATCAGATGGGGGAGGGGGCACCATGATCTGCCTGGGAAATTGGCTGGCCACCTCCTCAAGTTCAGTAGACCCCTACATATAGCTCCTGCAAAGGTTTTTCACAGAGGGAGCATGAGTCTGTAGTGTGCTGGGTATTGGTTCCCACTGGTGAGTTAGGAAGAATTTAGGAAGCACCCCAGCGAGATTCTGGATTGTAGTTCAGGCAGGAGGTAGGTGCTTAGCTGTTGAAACGGGTTCTTGCGGTATTCTGAGAAGCCTGCATTTAGGAGAACTTTGCTGTCCAAAACATAGGTACTGACTGATTGCAAGTATCAAAGGGATTTTGTGGCCACTGTAGTCAGATTATTTTGTTTTCTTTTTTGTAACTTAAGTGCCTAAATCAGGGGTCGGCAACCCCTGGCACACATACTGAGTGTGGCACGCGAGGCCATTTTGCTTGGCATGCCGCGGCACAGCTGTTTGGAGCCTTCTGGCTGCAGCCAGCCCAAGCTCTGGGTAGCTGCTGTTAGCGACAGAGCCCAGGCTGCTCCCAGCAGGGCTTGCAGCATCCCAGCTGCCTGCTGGGAGCAGCCCGGGATCCTGACTGGCAGCAGCTCCCCAGAGCTGGGGCCAGCTGCAGCCAGGAGGCTCCAAACAGCTGTGCCGGGCTCCTGCATCAGCTCCGCACCAGCACATGCAGGCGTGCTTTGGAGCAGGTTGGGGGGGGGGGCCTGC